AAAAATTGCATATATTTATGGTGTACAATATGATGTTTTGAAATATGTATACATTGTGGAATGGCTAAATTGAGCTATTTAACATTACCTCACATACTTATCATTTTTTGTGGTGAGAACATGTAAAATCTACTCTCTTAATGATTTTTAAAATATACCATACATTGTTATTAACTATAATCACCATGTTGTACAACAGATCTCTTGGACTGATTCCTCCTGCCTAACTGAAATTTTGTATCATTTGGCTTCCCAATCCTCCCCTCACAACCCATGTCTATCTTTTTAAAGCCATGTATAAGATCTTGGTTTTCCTATTATTGTGAGTACTTTCATAGCAGTTTATTCACTGCTCCCCCAACCCCCATTAGATAGTAAAGCTCTTCTTGATAAAAGACCTTACCTTTCTTTGAGTCCTTATTTTCATTCACCATACTTTCCCCTGTATGTTACTTGTCTCATTTTGTCCCTTTTCCTACCTTATTATAAATTCCTCCAGGACAGAGACTGTCACACATTTCAACTCCTACAGCACAACACTTAGCCCATAGGAAGTGCTTAGTATATTTTTTAATTAATGAGTGAACATTTGTTAAAACCAACAGAGTTGAATGATACTGACCTGTACTGAATTATACCGATGCTAACTATACACAGTGGGACCTCCCATTCCATATGACAACTATATAATATTCTTAGCTTAGGGACGTAATATTTTTAGCTAGATTTATAAAAGGTTAAATATTACTATAAGGCATCAAAATAATAATAATAACCAACCAAATTAAATTAGAAAAGTTCGTGGTTTGTTGGTTTGCTTTTTGTTATTTTTAAATTTTAGATATTTACTAATTAATGTACCTACTAATTTATTGTTTTATTACTTCTCTTTTATCTGAATCAGTGAGTATTCTGCTTTTAGTATATGTTATCTCTGATCATCTGGTTCATACAGTTATAAGTGATTAGGCTACTAATTCAGTTACGAAAACCTGGCTTTCACTAGTACAAAGAGGAGATATAATAGCCTTAGTCTCCTGAGTAGCTGGGACTAAAGGCGCTTGCCACGGCACTCTGATCCCCAAAGCTTTTAAGGAAATACAACAGCATTATTTTTATTATATTTTATTATATAAACATGTAATAAGGGATGTTGGCAGACAATGGGTTAAGCAGACGTCAAGATGAGGAAGGAGGAAGGGTATTTACTCTGGTTACTCTCCACCACACACTTGATTTTACAGTTTGGCTTTCACTACTCACCCATAATACTTAGTTACAAATTTGCCAGGGTGACTCAGCAGGTGAATTGCCTTGTGACAAGGATGAACCACTCTTCTGACAGGGGAGTTTAAATCACAGATTATCCAATACATTCTGTTTTGGGATGAATATTATATTCTTTTAACCTCTATGCTATCCATGTTAGACTCCATATGCAGAGACTGTCAGAATCTTAATACCAGGGGGAAAAAAGTAGTTAACCCTCTTATATTACCTATGAGAAAATTTAGGCCCAGGAAGCTTGTCACACATTCAAATCACAGAAACAATCAGCAGCAAAGCTAAATCTCAAATCCAATCACCTTGCCTC